GCGGTGCGATGGAATCCCGTTGGCGACCACCTCGATCTGGCACCCGTCGTTGGCCGCGAAGCCCGGGAGGCCCATGTCGCTCAAGAACTCGCCAGTGCGGACGCGGCCCCCTGCCTCGCGGCGCACGCGGGCCCACGCCCCCTCGATGGGGGGGCGCCGCGTTTGGGCAAGCGCCCGCTGCGAGGGCACGCTCGTCCGCGCGGGCCTGGCAGGAGCGCCCGTTGCACCTGCTTTTTTCGAGGGGGGCCTCCGCATCGGCGGCCACAGGTCGGGCGCTCGCCGCGCGCCGCGCGCCGCGCGCCGGGCCCGCGGGGGCGCCTCAGCGCGTCCCCCAAGAGAGAGGGAGGCGGATGAGATGGTACGCAAGGTGCCCCCTGTCTAGGGTCGGGTCAAACACCGCTCTTCGTAGGGCCCCCCGTGGGAAGATGTATATATACTCGCAGCCCACGCCGATCCACCCTCCCACGTGCACCCCGAGATGACGGCACCAGCCCTCTAAAAAGCGAGCGGCCGGCCCCCCCACCCCAAGGGAAGCGCCTGGGGGTTGGCCCCGCGCGTGCGGCCAGCAAAGAGAGTAGAGAGCATGACAAACAACAAGGAGGCGAACAAGGACAAGAAATAGAGTGCAAAAGCAAACAACCAAAAAAAAGAGGGCAAAGCAGAGGCATCGGATAGGACAAGGGGCAGAGACCCAGTACAAATGTGCCCTGTGAGCGGTACAGAAAATCCCAGAACGACGACAGCATCACGACTGTGGGGGGGAGAGGGGGGAGGAGGGGGGGAGAAAAAAAAAAAAAAAAAAAAAAAAAAAAAAAAAAAAAAAAAAAAAAAAAAAAAAAAAAAAAAAAAAAAAAAAAAAAAAAAAAAAAAAAACGGAAACGAAGGAACAAAAAGAAAGTGGAAAGTGAATACGCACAAACACGGCATGGTAAAGCATACGCTGTGAAAGGGGCCAACCACAGAGAAGGGCAGAAGGAAGAAGAAGAAAGGAACGAACGGAGGGAGGGGCAGGGAAGGGAGGGGGAGGAGCGCAAGGGCGAGGAGGGACAGGGCAGAGAACGCGTGTTCGGCCTTCGAAATAGGGTTCCACACAGGAATTACCCTTCTGGTCTGCAGGACCGACGGGGAGCGCACCGTCAAACCAGGGGGGAGATTGAGCACTGCTGGTAACCCATATTACTAGAGAGGGCACGGCGCACCACGGCAAATACCAAACAGCACGAAACGGCACGGCCACGCAGACACAAACTGCTGGCCGCGGCGCCCCAGAGGCAGGCGAAGTCGTCGCAGGAGCAACGTCCGGAGACGCTCGGGCGCGCAGGTGCTCTCCGGCGTCGACGGGATCAGCGCCAGGTGTCGCCCGCCGTAACGGCCTCCCTGGAAGTCAAGTACCCACTGCTCGTGTCTGTCAAGTTCGGACGCACGACCTCCTCTCTGAAGCGCCGCTCTCGGGCTGCTGACGCGTGGTAGTGACGTCCGTGCTTCCGCTCGCCAGGGTCTGGCTCTGTCTGCTTCGGGCGCGCGCCGTTCCAGACTTCTTGCCAAGCTGGACAAACGAATCCGTCACGAGCGGCGGCGGTCCTGGGGCGCTCGGCCTCCTGGAGGCACTTGCCGCGGCATCGGACCCTGCGCGAAGAGCGGAATCGGCCGCACACGCTGCAGACCTCAACCCAAGGCCGCCGAGGTCCAGCGGCAGCACTATCACTCGCAAGAATCGTTCTGCGTCTGCCGGCGCCGGAGCGAGGCCGAGACAGCCGTGGAGCGTCTACTAAAGCGAGCGGTCGCGCGCCTCGGCGTTGGGCCGCGACCACGACGGAGGCAGCGCGCGGAGCACGCGGTTGCACCGTGGCACAGCGCAGTATAACAGGAGAACCCACGCACGCTGAAGGTCTGGCAAGTTGGGGAGCTCTCGAAGGCGTAGGCGTCCCTCGTCAGCCCGTTCTTGCGCCAACCTGGCCGCGAACGCCAACGCGCCCAGGGGCGCGCCCAGTACCTTCAGGCCCCGGTGCTGCTCAGGCTTGCGGGCGCCGCCCACCCAGACGTCTGCGCCCAAGGAAAAATGACCTGCCGGCTCGAAGCCGCCACAATTCCACATCCGTCACTTGCCCAGGTTCGCCTCGATACCAGCCCACTCCCGCGTCGCGGCGGTGACCTCATGGGAAGCAGCAGTGGCCCACTCCTGTCTGCAGATGATGTAGACGTCGTCGAGGCACGCGAGCAACGCCTCTCCTGGTTGCAGCCGCGCGCGCGCCATCTCAACGGCGCCGCGTTGCGCCAGGGGAGTTTGCGCTGGCATGAGCGGGTCGCCCTGCTCTCCTCGCTCACCCTGCCTTATCTCGTGCGCAAATCCTGGTTCGTCTGTCCAGAAGTACGTCGACGGCTGGCCATAAGAAAGCACGACGAAAGGAACCAGGGCGGAGGCCCCAGGCAACGACATAAGCTTCGAGATCACGCGGTCGCGGCACAAGTGGTCGAAGGCCCCAAGGCCGTCGAGGCTAACGACAGTAGCAGCCGGGTCGGCGTCCGTGGTAGCGCGCAGAAAGAGTGGGCGGCACTGTCCGCCCCGGCTCGCGTCGACAGCCCGCACTGGAGAGGCGCGCAAGCTTCGTCGATCTCAGGCCCGAACTGTCCGGAGAGGGCCTTGCCGACGAGCCTGCGGAAGGCGTCTCCTGCGACTGTCCCTCGTGCGCGGCCGTTGTCCTTCAGCGGCGCTGCCAGGCGGCCAGTGCCAGAGGCGCGCGCGACGCTCGCCGGGATCTCCGCTGTAGCTCGAGCGCGTCGTCTTCGTCCAAAGTAAGCTTGAGGAGTTCAAAGGTGGCCCCGCTGAGCGAGACGGAGGACCCTCTCGGGGCGGAGCGGAAGCACTCAACCCAGATGCGGCGGTCGAGCTCGACCGGGCGCGCGGGGGGTCCGCACTGGCCGCAGGGGACGCGGCAGCAAAAAAAAAACAGGTCGGCGGTAGGCAGCGGCGGGCGGCGAGCGGAGCCCCGCCAACCAGCCAGCGTCTCGGCCGTGCCGGGCGCGAGCCCGCGCGACGCGAGCCTTGCTAAGGCCGCCTGCCTTGACCAGCGCCACCGCGTTCTCCAGGAGGCGCTGGCGCCTTGCCCCTGCGTCACCTGTGCTGCGCGCTGCTGGGGTCCGCTGCGAGCGGGCGCTCGGCGCGAGCAGCGCTTCCCAGGAGCCGTCCTCGAAATGCTCCAATCGCGTTTCCAGCTCCCGCCGCCCTGGCGCCCCAGTGATCGCTGCCCGTCGCAGCAACAGACGCCACACGAGGACCGGGAGCTTCTACGCCCTCTCACACTGCAGCACCTTGCCATCGCTGGAAAGGCCGTCCGCGCGCAGGACCTCCTCGAGGACCAAGTAGTACAGTTGGTGGAGGCGGCCGCGGAGAAAGGCCAGCGGCGCCCCATAGCAGGGCTCCTGCCGGCGCAGCTCGGCTTCCAGGTCCACGCCGTCCAGCAGCGCCCACGCGAGGGCTGGGAATGACGACTGGGCCGGGCGCTCGCGGCGCGAGCGCGCCCTGCGCGCTCGGGGCTGACGCAAGCAGGGCATGGCAGACCCTGGACCTGCAGAGCTACGGCTGTCGCTGCTCCCCTGGCTCCGGCTGTCGCGGCTCTCCTCGGTGCTGCTGCCTGTGCCACCTTCTCCTCCTCCTCCTCCCCCCCTCCCCCTCCTCTGCTGCCTTTGGCGCCTCCTCCTCCTCCTCCTCCTCCTCTGGGGCCTCGTCCTCCTCTGGCGCCTCGTCCTCCTCTGCGTATGGGGTTGAAGTGCAAGGGTACAGAACCCCTGATCCGTTGGTAGAGGGAAGGAGGGACAGATGGATATCATATCCTCCTGCACGATCAAAAGGTCTGATCGATCTGTCCCAATACCTGAGCCCAAACGGCCAGGCGCAGGAGAGGTGAGGATAAGGAGTATATATGAGGGAATTACACGGGTTCTATTCACATCCTCTGGAGCCTCGTCCCCCTCTGCCCCCTCGGGCTGCTGCGCTCTCTCTTCTGGCGTCTCGTTCCCCCCCGCCTCCTGCGGCGCCGTCCTCTCCTCTTGAAGTCCCGTCGCCCAGCGCAAGCTCGGAGGGCGTTTGCAGCAGAGCCGCCCACGCCGCTGGGTCGCGCAAATCGTCCGCGCGCGTCGACGCCCCGCGCAAGAACCAGGCCGCCAAACGACTGCAGCAGTAAGTATTCCACGCCTGGCTTGAGTTGCCCGTCGCGACTGTGTTGACCACGGCCGCAAGGTGCACGTGGCCCGGGCGATTGCCAGCCCCTGCCGCGAACGCTGCGTAGATTTCGCCGGGGCGGGCGCCGATGTAGTCGAGGCCGCCTTACGCGAACTCCTTGACTGGAACGGAGTCCGCGTGCTCGAGCGCCGCCACCGTCGGCGACCACCACCCTTGCGTCAGGGGGGGAGCCGCCCACAGCGCCGCCTCGCTTGGGTCTAGAGGGCCTGCTGCTGCAAGCAGGAGTGGCATGCGAGTTCGTGGGCGACTGGATCCGCGCCGCCGCCGGCGGCCACCCTGAGGCGGGCTTACGTTGCTGGCGCGGCCTCTCGGCGAATGCTCCTGCCGGCCCAGGGCCTCCACTGCTTGCCTCTGGGTCCAGCGGCCGATGAGGCTCCTCCTCCTCCTCCTCCTCCTCCTCCTCCTCCTCCTCCTCCTCCTCCTCCTCCTCCTCCTCCTCCTCCTCCTCCTCCTCCTCCTCCTCCTCCTCCTCCTCCTCCTCCTCCTCCCACCGTGGAGCCGCGGCAGGAGCAGCCTGCTTGGCGGCGCTCTCGCGCGGGCCGTCGCCACGCCGCACAGACATGACCGCCATGGCCACGGTCGCTGCGGCGGTTGCACCGGTTCAGCAAGGCGCGCCTTCCCGAATTGCCGCGTGGACTGCCACGTCCACCAGAGAGGCCGCCGTCGCGCCGCCGGCGTCCAGCATCCCGCGCGCGCCGCCCGCAAGAGGCGGGGGAGGGCCCAGAGGGGCCCAGCGTACGCACTGGAGCCCGCGGCTTGAAGGAAGCCTCACCCAAGCACCACAAGACCACGTGCTGTACTACCTTGCTCCGCCCGCCAGCCCGCCAGCCAGCCAGCAGCCCAGCCCAGCCCAGCCCAGCCCAGCCCAGCCAGCCAGCCAACCAGACAGCCAGCCACGGGTTTAATTTCTTTTGCCTCGGCGGCGCGCTGAAATCGGGGACGGGGAAATACTACCCTTCTTAGCGATGTACCTTGCTGTCGGCGCGCGATGGCGAGACCTCCTGCCCCTGTAGGACAGTCGGCGACGCGATCAATCTGCGCGGCCGTCTCTCACTCTCTCCGCGTGGTGCACACGATTTGGTGCCGCCCTGAAAATTGGCAAGCGCCCCCGCGCAAAGCACGCGCGGCTTGCGAGCCAAAGCTGGGAACAAAAACAGCCTCTGGGTCTGCACCCTTCCCCGCCCTGCCAGCGCTGGTCCTTGGAGGTCCCTGCCACTGTCCTCCCTGCACGCCTTGCCTCGCCCCCTCTCCGCGCAGGGTCCGCCCCTGGCCCCTGGCACGACCGCCGCCCCCCTTTGCCCCGAGACCCTGGGGAGATCCCCTCGGAACTCGCATTTCCCCCCCCCCCCCGGCCGGGCCGATCTGGCCAAGGCCCTGCCCCTCAGTGGCTCTGCACCCGCAGCACGGCAAACTACTGCTGCACAGGCCTGCCGGCTCCGGCCCCCGCCCGCGCACGGCCAGAAAACGTCCCCCTGACCAGGATACGCCCGGCCGAGCACCGACCAGTAAACGACAGTAGGGGGCCAGATGCGAACCCTACCCCAGATTTCGTAGTAAAAGGGAGGGGGTCTGGACCCTCCAAGGCAAGCCATTTCAGACCTCCCCCGTGGGAGAACCCTCCAAAACATCGTCCCCAGACCCCCCAGGCCCTCCAAGATAGCCTGGAAGAGACCCCCCCCCCGAAATGAGACCCCCCTCCCTTTATTACGAAATCTGGAGTACCCCTACCCCCTACAATTTCTGAGGGGGAGGGTGGGGTTCACTTCGCTCGGGAGCTCCCGAGCGAAGTGAACCCCACCCTCCCCCTCAGAAATCGTGGGGGGTGGGGGTAGGGTTCGCATCTGGCTCCCCAGACAGACCCCCGACCAGTGCACGAAAGCACTTCCCTCGCCAGCACACGCTCGATCCCGAAGCCGGCCCCAGGTGTCCCGACTGGAAAAGCCTGCGCCCTCGCTGCGCGTACACAATCCCTGCGCGGCCCCTCGGCCGCCCCCCCGCGGCGTCCGCACAGCTGCTCGGCGTGCCTGTCCAGATGCCTGCGCAGGTCGCCGAAGCAGGTCACAGGACGAGCTCTCCAAGATTGACCCCCACTCCCAGGCAGCGCCGTTTTGATTTCTTTGTTCGCAGCTCTCCGACAGTTCTGGGGGAAGCGCTCATGGGGCTCGAGCGCAACTCCAGGGCAAGTAGCAAGGGCAAGATGTATGAAAACGACACCCTCCAAGCGCAACGCGCGCCCGAATCAAGAGGACGGCGTCCAGCGGTCTCAGCGCTGCCCCCGAGGCCTCCCAGGCAGCTTTCCAAAACAATTCAGGTAAGAACGCGGCCATGCAAGAGCAAACGAGGTGAAATCCGAAACCGTTCAAACAACAACGTGGCCACAGAAGAGCATACGGAAAAAGGAACCAGAAGCGTCCAGACAGCAGCGGGACCACACAAGAGCAAACAAAGTGAAATCCAAACTTGTTCAAAGAACAGCGGGGCCACAAAAAACGAGAGGGCAACAAAAATGAAACCAGAAGCTGTTAAGAGAGCAGCGCGGCCACAGAAAACCGAACAGAAAGAAAAACCGTGACCGTTCAGACTGCAGCGGACCACAGGGAAATACAAGAGAAGGTCCACGAAGAGCAGACATAAATGCCACCACAATGAGCGAAGCGGGGCCATACAACAGCGACACGAACCGAAACCCGAACTCGCTCACGCAGCAGCGGTGCCACGGGAGCGCAACCAGAAATGAACCGGAAACTGTTCCGAGAGAAACGCGACCACAGAATAGCAAACAGAAGTGAAACCTCAAATTGCGTACAGCCGTTGGGGGTAAGGGAAATGGAACGCGAAATTGTTGAATGGAAGAAACAAAACGGATGTGAAACTCGACAACGTCCAGAGAGCAAGGGGCCACTGAACAGAAAATGCAAATGAAATCCGAAACTGCTCAGGGAATGGGTGGCGCAGCTGCGAAGAAGCAAACGGCTGTTGATACTAAAGAACAGAGGGCCGCGAGTACACGGCAGAGCAAGAGGAAAGGAAACACAGGGCAGCTACACTGATCAGAAGGAGGCGCGACAGCATAGGAACCAAAAATGAAAACCCCAACCGTTCAGACAGCCGCGGGGCCCCCGGCGAGCAAACAGAAATCCCACCAGCCATCTAGGGCGTGAATAGCTCGGGGCGTATCCTGCCAATCCCCATCTTCCCCCCTCCCCCTGGGTCTGTACGGGGCCTTCCGCGAGGGGTGGCGCTGTCCAAGATGGCACCCGAGGGGAAGCCACCCTCGCTGATGCCACTTCGGTTTGGGTCACATTTTGCCCTCCTGGCAGGGGGGGGGCGGGGGCGAACCAATTAGGGAGCCCCCCTCCTGTGATCGATCTCCTCTTAGATGGCCCCAAAATGGTCCCCGAGGCCCCCAAGGGTGCCCCAAGATGCCGTCGAAAGGTGCCCAGGAGGCCCGAGAGACTCCCCATCAGCGCCCAAGATGCGCCAACGAGGCCCCCAAGAGACACCCAAGGACCCCCAGGGGCACCAAAGACGCCCCAAGAGACCTCGGTGAGAACACCCTAATCATTGAATGTGCTAGGGTTTTGGCCACAGGTTGGCCTCCTAGAGGGGGGTACCGAAATTAAGATCCTCCTTTTTGATGGGTCCCCAAGATGGCCCCAAGATGGCACCCGAGGCCCCCAAGGGCGCCCCAGGACGACCACGAGAGGTGCCCAGGAGGCCCCACGAGGCACCCACGAGGCACGCTAGAGGCCCCTAAGGGGCTCCCACCCAAAAGACCCCCAAGAGGCTCCAAGGGGTCCTCCAGGAGCACCCAAGACAACCCAAGAGGCCCCCAGGACTGCCAAGAGACCCCCAATGACCCGAGGATTCCAAGGAGCTCCCAGCAGAAATCTGAAAAGACTCTGAAAGCTCTCCTGGAGGTTTATGGCCTGTCTACTCGCCCTCCTCCTCCTCCTCCTCCTCCTCCTCCTCCTCCTCCTCCTCCTCCTCCTCCTCCTCCTCCTCCTCCTCCTCCTCCTCTCCTCCTCTTCCTCCACATCCCTCCTCCTCCTCCTCCTCTCCTCCTCCTCCTCCTCCTCCTCTCCTCCTCCTCCTCCTCCTCTCCTCCTCCTCCTCCTCTTCCTCATCCCCCCCCTCCGCATCTCCTCTTCCTCCGCTTCCGCATCCTGCTCCTCCTCCTCCTCCTCCTCAGCAGCAGCAGCAGCAGTATCCGCATCATCATCTTCGTCGTCGTCGTCGTCATCATCATCATCATCATCATCATCATCATCATCATCATCATCATCATCATCATCATCATCATCATCATCATCATCATCATCATCATCATCATCATCATCATCATCATCATCATCATCATCATCATCATCATCACATCATCATCATCATCATCATCAGCATCATCATCATCATCATCATCATCATCATCATCATCATCATCATCAACATCATCATCATCATCATCAGCATCAGCATCATCATCATCATCATCATCAGCATCATCATCAGCATCATCATCATCATCATCATCATCATCACCATCATCATCATCATCATCATCATCAAGATCATCATCATCATCATCATCGTCATCATCATCATCATCATCATCATCACCACCACCACCACCACCATCATCATCATCATCATCATCATCATCATCATGCTCATCATCATCATCATCATCATCATCAGCATCATCATCAGCAGCAGCAGTATCATCATCATCAGCGACAGCATCAGATTCGTCATCATCACCATCATCAGCAGCAGCATCATCAGCATCAGCATCATCATCATCATCATCATCATCATCATCATAGTCGTGGTCATCATCATCATCATCATCAGCATCATCATCAGCATCATCGTCAGCATCGTCTTCTTCAGCATCATCATCATCATCATCATCATCATCATCATCATCATCATCATCATCATCATCGTCATCACCATCGTCATCATAATCATGAAAATAATCCGCTGGCCCCTTGTGGGGCCACCAGGCTGCGAGGAGCGGGATTCGCAGTTGCCTGTACCAGTTGTAGCTTGTAGTTTCCAGTGTTACAGTTCTGCTTATTGCTGGTTACTGTAACTAGTTGATTGACCGCGCGAGGGGGGGAGGCCCAAACCGGCTTTTTAGCACCCCCTGGGCGCGTTGTCTGAATTGCTGGGGAGGCTCGAAATCGACACCCCTCACGCAGATCCGCGGGGTCAGGGTCCAAAAACACATGGGATTGCCACATTTCTGAAATTCGGTGCCACCCCTCACGCAGATCCGCGGGGTCAGGGTCCAAAAACACATGGGATTTGCCACATTTCTGAAATTCGGTGCCACCCCTCACGCAGATCCGCGGGGTCAGGGTCCAAAAACACATGGGATTTGCCACATTTCTGAAATTCGGTGCCACCCCTCACGCAGATCCGCGGGGTCAGGGTCCAAAAACACAGGGATTTGCCACATTTCTGAAATTCGGTGCCACCCCTCACGCAGATCCGCGGGGTCAGGGTCCAAAAACACAGGGATTTGCCACATTTCTGAAATTCGGTGCCACCCCTCACGCAGATCCGCGGGGTCAGGGTCCAAAAACACAAGGGATTTGCCACATTTCTGAAATTCGGTGCCACCCCTCACGCAGATCCGCGGGGTCAGGGTCCAAAACACAAGGGATTTGCCACATTTCTGAAATTCGGTGCCACCCCTCACGCAGATCCGCGGGGTCAGGGTCCAAAAAACACATGGGATTTGCCACATTTCTT